GAATAGATATGTTCATTTAACATGATTTACATTTAAACTTGGATTGACCATTCATGATAAAAGGATTCTATTATGTTTAGCGTAATTAACTAAATGAATATATGGAAATCATTGATTGCGACACGTAATAGAATCATATGATGATGCTTTTTATTTTTATAATTAAAATAAGTAACAAAATTATAAAAGTTAAAAAATAAAAAAATATACACTCAACTCCAGGGCCGGCTCAAGGGGCTAGGCAGCTAGGCCCCCAGCTGAAAAGGGCCAAATTTTTTATAAATTTTTTTAATATATTATAAAAATAAAAAAAAGTATATAATTTCTTATCTAAGCTAAGGCCTAAAAAAAATAAAAGAGGCTCAAATTTATTATTAACTTTTTACATATATTAATATTCTCACCCAAAGTGTGACGAAATGACAAGTTTGTACCTCTAGTTTTATATATTTTAATTTACACCCTTAAATTAACACATTAAATTTCTTTTAATAATGAAAGGCTAAAATGGTCATTTACTTATCTCAAATTACTCACCCCCAATTCAGTCCCAAAATTTAACATTCACATAAATCATCTCCACCCCTCTTCCGCCGTCGACCGTTTGGAGCTAATTTCGATCGAATTTTTCACCAAAACAGATCGGAACCATCTCTTTATCGTTTTCCAAGTGTTTTTCCAACCTTGATAGCCCTCAATTTGACGATTTTTTACGAATCTCGCAACCTAGCTCCACCGCGTGCGAAGCCATTTCCGACCTTTTCAGCATGTACTTGGCATCGTTGGCCTTCTCCAACACCACCATCTTCCTCCCCTCTGCCTTCTCACCAAAGAAAAATGCTAACCTTACTCACTTCTTTTACTTACTTCTCTTACTCACCTTTGTTAAAATAACATATAGTACTCGTACTATGCTTTATATTTACAAAAGTGAGTAAGAGAAGTGAGTAAGACTAGCATTACTCCTCACCAAAACCCCTATCATACATATTCTGTTTATTCTGCTAATCGCCGACCACCGATACCTTTTGGGTCGCGACTTCTCAAGTCTTTTCCGGTCAATCCTGGTATTGAAAATCACTAATTTCACCATCATCGCTTCTCCAGCATCTGCTCTCCACCTATCCTAATGATTTTGCATCTCAAAAAGCAAGAAAATTAAATTTGAAATAATTTTTTTAATATATATTTATATTATTAGAAAGTTCCCAAAGTAACTTTTTTTTTGTCTACGGTCACAAATGTTCTTAAACGCCCTGCTCAACTCCTCTTCCACCCTACACCATCCTTGTGCAGTAGCCTTACCCCCTCATAGCAGCCTTCCCCCAGCCCCAGCCACTACCATAGTCCCAACCCAAAACCCAATAGAGCAAAAACAATTTGTAGTAGCCTATGAAATTGCTAGCAATAAAATTCTGAACGCAGGAGTCTTTCCCATCCTACCAAGCCTCACACCCCTTTACTATATAAACCCACAAACCAGCAGCCGACACCTCTAGCAAACCGACAACCCATCTCCCTACGCCCCCCATAACTCAGCTCGAAATACCCACTAACCACATGAAAATTGCATTATTAAAGGACAAAGAGGGTGTACTCACAGCTGGGAAACGAGTATCAACTACCGAGCTTGCGCCTTGCGGCTTTTGCCTATGCTCTTGAAAAGGGATAAATTTGAAAAGAGCTTCAAGTCTTCAACTATCAAGCTGGCCAGAGATCGTTCATTTCGCAAGGACAAGAGAATAGGAACGTCGGACACCAAGAAGACCAGAGTTGCTTGTCAAAACTTTAAGTGTCGAGCAGCAAGAGATGGGGAGTTCAGCAGCGACATACGAGAATTTAGGTTTGGATGTGCGCAATTTGTGGGTATAATGGGCTTATCTATGAAGGGCAAATCTATAAAGAAAAATGCTAGACAATACAAAGAGAGCTACAAAGTGGCATCGTTAGGAAGGAAAAAACAAAGAAAAAACGGAAAAAGAGGGAGAGAGAGAGAAAAATCATGAAGATGAAGGGTGGAAATTGTCTTTGTATGACCTCTTTGTTTTTGTCTTTGTAAGAGTAGTATTGCTCATCCATAAATATTTCAATATTTTCAACGGGGCAATTCTGTAATGTTAAAAATGTATCAAGGAGAAAAAAGGAGTTTTCAATAACAAATTATTTTATTTTATTTTAGAATAACAATTAAGTATTCACTTTCTTTAAATAGAGGGCTATTTTTGTTTGTTGCTAGCGACTAGTGAGTACATCATGTACATGGATCTTGTGGTGGGTCCTTGAGATCCGTTGAAGCGTTGATGTTAGATGGTCAAGATGTTTTGGAGTAATTATAAATTAAAATCTAGAAATGATATAATATTTCAGGTGAATAAGTATGGGCAAAAAATCAAATACCAGTATACTTATTAATTGATTATTTGATAATTGATATATTAAATAAAAATCAATACTATCAATTTTTTTTTTTTAATTACCCTAAAGATTTTAAGGACCGAAGATAAGAAGTAATTTAAAAATATTTTAAGGACAGAATTGAGTTTTTAATCCCAAATTATTTTATACTAGAATAATTATTTATTTCCTCCCCTTGATTTTTTATTTTTATTTTTATTTACAAGATTATATAAAATCAATTAGATAAAGTTTATTTACATATAAAGTTTATACTATAAACTATAGTTTATTTACAAGAATATTTTCAGGATAGAATTGAATTATTATTTACATATAAAGTTTATAGTATTTCTTACAACAAAACAAATGTTTGCGTATCGCAGAAGTGCCGTTAGCCACATACATAAACTTTTTTTCACAATATAAACACTTCGTTTATTTAGTCTTATGGGTTGTCTCATTAACAATTTTTGTAAAATGTTTCCACATGTGAGACTTGGTAGCTTACTTAGAAGTTACCTTTGAATTTGATGCCAACTCTCCACGAATACTGCACATCTCCATAGTTTTATCTTTAGTTGATGGCATCGTACCTATAAACGAAGAAAATGAATATAGTGTTAATAAGTAATTGGAAATGAAAACTACAACGAATTAATCCATAATTATATCAAATGAAGTCTTAGAAATAATATAGTAAGAAAAAACTGTTAAAAAATAAAATAGATTAATATGGTAAATAAAGTAATGAATATTAAGCGTTAATCAATGAAAGCAAAAAAAAGAAAATAAAGGAAAGAATGCGCATTCCTTAATGTGGAAAGGGCATTTCACTTGGAATCTCCAATTTTGCAAAAGTTGGACAGAACAATAAATGACCAGAGGAACGATGCTTCCTACCTAGAACAGCTTGAAAGATAGAGGAACAAATGTTTCACTATGAATCTCCAATTTTGTAAAAATTGGATAGAACAATGAATAACTAGAGGAACGATGTCAATCCTGCCTAGAATGACTTGGAAGATAGAGGATCGGGTGTTCCTTAATGTGGAATGGGCAAATAAATACTCTCCACCAAACTCTCTTCTCTTCATTCCACAACTATTTCTTACAACCACACTTTCTTCAATCGATTCTTCTTCTTCGAATCAAAACCTAAATCAACAGATGTTGAGAATCAATCATTGATTTTTAGAACTAAACCCCGAATCTTGAATCCAAACCCATTAACATTGAACCACATTCGCAATTTAATGATTATTCAGATTCTATCATCTTCCAACAACAAAAGTTGATTAAAGCAAAAAGAAATAAAATTTTTTGTCAAAAATATGAGTCATTATGTAAACTTCGTGAAAGAAGGACTAAATTTGAAAACCCCAAATTTCAAAGTAAGAACACTAAATTTGAAAAATACCTTCGTTAGAGAACTTGTACTGCTAACCTTTGTATAAAAATAGTTGAATGGGAACGAGAACGAATGAGAATGTCAAGAAATCGAGAGAGAAATCAGTTTCATAGCTTACGATTTGCGAACGTGAGAAGAGAAATCAAACTATGAGAGAAAGACAAAGAACTGAAGCAAATGAACTCATATTCATAATTTATATGAATCGTAAAATTACAAAAATAGCCCCCAATTTTTTTTTAAATTACATGTTTCCCTCAGTTCTCAGGTAGGTTCCGGTTTCTAAAGTGATGGAATCGGTACCAGAATCGCACTGTACTGGTTCCTGAATTTTCGAAACCGAAACCTACCCGCCCCCTTTCCAATTCCTTTTCAAGTTTATTAATGATATGAAAGAAGACAGTTGAATTACTCTTATGCTAGCAAAAGCTTTTATTTATACTACATACTAAGACCATAAAACATAAGGAAAACTAATTATAATAGGAAAATGTTTCCTATTAATAATCTAACATAAGAAAAATAAAATAGGGAAACTAAGAAAACCTAATAAAATAAGAGAAACTAAATTAGAAAACAAACTAAAATATGATTCGTAGGCTTATGGGGTCCTACATCATTCAAATTATGTAATTTTTGAAAAATTAAAATAATAATATTAATAGGCAAATGTCAAGTTATAAGAGGCTTGTGGTACCAACCTAGACTGAGTTGGTGCCTGGTACCCTGGTTAGTGGCGGACCGCCACTAGAGCCTAACCACCCCAAAATTTGATTTTTTTTTTGAAATTCTATAGTATTATATACATTTTAAGATGCAATAAGTATTTTTGGTCCATCCAGATTTTGTTTACAATTTTTGTATATGGACATATTCAGAATTTTTTCTTAATTATGAATTGTTTTTCAATTCTTAAAACTTTCTTTCTCTATCTCTTATCACTTACATATTACAAGATCATTCAATAAAAAAGAAAATAAATCATATGTCGATAAAAGCTAAAAATTTTGTCAAATTATGAATAATATTTTGAAAAATATTAAAAGATACATACTTAATTCAGTTTTCAGTGAACTCATTTTGAGGGTATACTATGTTTTTTCCTACATAAGTTGGTGCCATTTGCCCCATCTCTTTATTGTAAAGTTTTTTAAACAAAGAGATTAAAGAAACATCTCTCAAATTAAAATCAAAATAATTAAATCATCAATTAAATTCCTTATTAATTTACTTTGTAAAAAAGAATTAATATAATATAGCTAAACCATAAACTTAATACACTTCTAATCCATACAACACGCCCGCATGTTTTTCCGGCCCGTCATTCACAAAATACATATCCCTCATCTTTTGAAAAGCATGCCACGTCAGCAGGCTATCAGAACCCGCTTGGTGACACTTCCCAACCGCCCGGTTCACCTCCAATATCCGGGCCACCCGGTCCAGCCCACCGTACAAACTTCTACAAAACCGCATCATATGTTTGATATCATAAACATTATTTCCAAAAAACACCCTCAATATCATCAAAAACTTATCTAAGCCACTGGGCAAACTTCGGCGCGTGAGGATCTTCACCAAGTAGCCAAAATCATACGCGCTGTGAAACGTTACCCAACTCACCGACTCATTACACACGAGCCCCGACGACATCATCAACTCAGCGAACCGGACCGAGTCAACTCCCTGCTCTCTGTTTCTTTCAAAATCAATCCCTTGCTGTCTCAGCAACTCAATCGAATCAGGCGCGTGAGCATCAGTCGCGACGTCAAAATCCCGGAAGTTGAATTCCCATATGTAACGGTTACCGGTACCCAAATCCGGCAAGCTACCGGAAGAATCAGAGAGTGTTAGACCGACCTGGATCAAGTTGAGAGCATCAACGTTAGATTTCAACATCTCGTAGTGATCGGAGGGCTGGCGTTGAGGGTAGTGAGGTCTGGCCAGGTCGACTGACGGTCGGAAAATAATACCGGGAAACTCCGTGTCCATGGAAATAAACGGGAATTCATCGATGATTTGACTGATCAAATTGAACTCGGATTCCAAGTTGGAAGCCCAAACTTCGCGTATGACGATCGGTTTAGAATCGGAATCACGATCTTCGACAAACATGATGAGTTGAGTATTGAATTGTGTATGTGAAGAAGAAGGTGAAGAGAGAAGAAAGTTGAAGAAGTATTGGTGTTGGAATTGGTATGGGGAGAGAGGGAATATAAGGAGGGGGAGGTGGGGGGGAAGATGCTGCTTGGAAAGAGGGAGAAGGATTGGGACATAGGGGTGAAACCGTGAAAGAGTAGGACTAAATTCAGTGTAAGGTTAGTCAGAGTCTACGCGTTATGCTTTTGACTCTAATTCTATCGCAACTTTGGACTTTTTCTTTATTTGATCTAATCCTTGTTTTACCAAACTTCTTTTTTATTTTCCTTTTCATCATTTTTGGTCTTTTGTATTTAGGACTGTGTTTTGGTGATTAATAATCAATTTTCTTATTTTAATTAGGAATTTTTAAATTTTCAAATTTGATTTGCTATTTTCCTTGTTCGGATGTGTATAAAGTTGGCACCAATTCTGAATTCAAACAACATGTATGTGTTATCAGTCGCGCCAACAATTTATTTAAATTAAAATATATATATAATATTATTTTGTAATTTCAATTCTTGTGTATTGGTACTTTTATTAAAGTATAATACAAAAATTAACTTAAGAAATAATCTAACTAAGCTACCGTAAGTAACTTTTGAAAATCCTTTATAAATTTAATTATTTAAATTCAACTTTAATTATATTCACTTTCAGAAGTAATTTACGAAACGTTTTGAGTGATTTAACTTCATAATACAGTGATTAAAGTTAAAGCTGTGACAATCCCAAACATGGACTAATAAATATTAAAAAATCAATTTATTGTGAAATAATTATATAACTGTTTTTTTTTTTTTTTTTTTTTTTGTTATGCCTCAAAAGTCATGTTTATGTCAGTTCATTTAATGTCTTCTTGTACCAGCCGCGAAGCTCATATCTCCAAAGATATTCTCATCAACTATATCTCCTTTCAAGAGATGAATGGACGAGAGTCTTCCATATATCAAGGCAACTTGCAAAACACTCATTGCATTAAGTGTTTGGGTGAATAAATGGGCATTTTCCCTTCACGAAGAAGGGAGGCTGGAGGCTGGGCTGAGATTTGAGCTTCATGTCATTCTCTCTCATTAAACACTGTATTTCTGCATCTTTGTATGTCTTACAGGCAAAATCATTCAAATAGTCAGTGAGCAATAAAATAACTGTGGATGTAGGAGTCGCTTGTTGCATCCGAACCACTATAAAAACCCCTATTGCCAATCTTTTATTCATTTTTTTGCAAAATATATAATCTCAGCTTCATATGAATCTTATGGATCTATCACGTGTATCTCCTGAGTCAGTTCAGCGTTTCCCACGTGCGAGTCATTGGCGTCCAAAATCAAGCGTAAACAGTTTGGTGGCCCATGCAGGTCCGATTCTCAAACCTGCGTCCAAGTTCTCCGATCGTGTGGACAGATCATAAATCGCATGCGTCCGAGTTTTCCGATCACGTGGCCAGATGGTAGATCGCACGCATCAACTCTCCAATCGCGTGGCCATATCACTAATCGCACGCATTAGAGCTTCGATTGCTTGGCCAGATCGCAGATCGCACGTGTCAGAGCTCTCCGATCGCGTGGCCAGATCGCACATGTCAGAATTCTCCAATTGCGTGGTCAGATCATTAATCGCACGCTCAAATCACACGTTCAAGACCGTTCAGATCACGTGTTCAAATCGCCCAGATCATGTGGCCAGATCGCTTATCACATGCTCAGGTCGAGCCCAGGTCGCGCTCGTTATGCGTTCAGATCAAGCTCAGGTCGTGCTCATTTTGAGCCTAGGTCGTGCTCGTTATGTGCTCAGGTCGAGTTTAGGTCGTGCTCGTTCAGATCGAGCCCAGGTCGTGCTCGTTATGCGTTCAAGTCAAGCCCAGGTCGTGCTCGTTATGTGCTTAGGTCGAGCCCAGGTCGTGCTCGTTATGAGCTTAGGTCGTGCTTGTTGTGTACTCAGATCGAGTCTAGGTCGTGTTCGTTATGCGTTTAGGTCGAGCCTAGGTCGTGCTCGTTATGAGCCCAGGTCGAGCCCAAGTCGTACTCATTATGAGCTTAGGTCGAGCCCAAGTCGTGCTCGTTCAAGTCAAGCCCAGGTCATGCTCGTTTTACGTTCAAATCGAGCCCAGGTCGTGCTTGTTATGAGCCCATGTCGTGCTTGTTATGAGCCCATGTCGTGCTTGTTATGAGCCCATGTCGTGCTCGTTATGAGCCTAAATTGTGCTCATTATGTGCTCATTATATGCTCAGGTTGAGCCTAGGTCATGCTCGTTTAGCTCAGATTGAGCTCGTTTTGCTCTCAAGTTGAGCTCGTTTTGTTTTCAGGTCGTTTTCCTAACAGATTTCAGTTCAAACTCTTCAGTTCGAGGCTGCAGCAGATCAAAGACTTAGTTTCTGAAGCACAATTACGCACTTCAAAAACTGTGGGGCTTCTGTTATGCCTCAAAAGTCATGCTTATGTCAACTCATTTAATGTCTTCTTGTACCAGCTGCCAAGCCCATATCTCCAAAGATATTCTCACCAACTATATCTCCTTTCAAGAGATGAATGGACGAGAGCCTTCCATGTGTCAAGGCAACTTGCAAAACACTCATTACATTGAGTGTTTGGGTGAATAAATGGGCATTTTCTCTTCACGAAGAAGGGAGGCTGGAGGCTGGGCTAGGCTAAGATTTGAGCTTCATTTCATTCTCTCTCATTAAACACTGTATTTCTTCATCTTTGTATGCCTTACGGGCAAAATCATAGAAATAGTCAGTTAGCAATAAAATAATAGTGGATGTAGGAGTCGCTTGTTGCATCGAACCACTATAAAAACCTCTCTTGCCAATCTTTTATTTATTTTTCTACAAAATATATAATCTCAGCTCCATATTCAAATCTTATGGATCCATCACGTGTGTCTCCTGAGTCAGCTCAACGTTTCCCATGTGCGAGTCGTTGGCGTCCAAAATCAAGCGTCAACAGTAATAGATAATTTTAACAAGCATATAACGTTGTCGTATCTATGTTTACTTGATCACTTAATTATGTTTAACTATGTATAACAACAAAAGATTAACTCTCACTTAAAGACTAAAAAAATCAAAGAGATAGCTGGGGTTATATATTGTGTTATTTGGTCGTTAGATTGTGATATGCTTTGAATGATTCAAAATCTTTGCTTGGATGGTGATTGATGAAGGGTGCCTTACAGTAACTGGCTAATAGAATTAGACGGGTGTAAAATGTGTAGTTCTCCCAACTTGACTTACATTATAAACTTGTTTCCGGTTCAGTGTACTATAAAGTCTTCAATCAACTTTCTCAAGTACTGGTAATGGTTACAATAAAGTCTTCAATAGTTTTAGTAGAGAGTTAGGGTAAAGAATTAAGTTAAATAATTATATAGGTTAATTACATTGACCGCCTTTGAGGTTTTAACTTTTCACAAACAACATTAGGGTAACATGTAACCCCACTCCGTTAGGTGGCGTTTGGTAAACAATTGTCAATATCAACATTAAGGCAGCCAATTTGAAAGCTTGTATTCAAGTTCAAGATTAGTGTTATAATCACATTTGCATCTTTTATTATTGAATTTTATGGAGTTACCATTGATCATTTTCTTGTTGTTCCTGAATGTGGTTTGAATATAGAAGCTTTTCTGTCTTTTTTGGTTTGGAGCACTGTTTGACCTGGATTGAGTTTTGAGACACTATTTGGGTTAAAGACAATCCATTTCAAGTTTGTGCTTGGTACATTTTATAAATAACTGCATTTTTTAAGTGTTAATACTACACAATTCAAAAGTAAAGATACACTGTATATGACAAATATAGATTAAATCTTATTTAGTACCATTTTTTAATGTAGCAGTATCTTATAGTGTCTATCAAATATATATATGTATGGACAAAAAATTGTATTGGGCCTGACGAGGTCTACTAACGAGACAAACACTTTACGGCCCAATGCCTTAGCTTAACTTCGGTTGGACCTACGATTAAATCCACATTGTGAACCACCCTCTCTATGAGTTGGATTATCCTACAAGTTAAGCTAAATCGGACTCCAGACCATTAGCCCACAATAGTCCATAAATAGGAAAAATAATCCTATCACCTTCCTGATTCATTTAAGATCCAGTATCTTACATAAATTAATACTCTTGAACCAATAAAGGCAAGAAATAAGAGTTCCCTCCTAATTGAGACTCATCTACTAAGTAAGACTCAAAGTCCTACTAGGATTATAACCCTTTGGGTTCACTATATAAACAGGGGCAAACCCTCTCAATATTCATTCAGAAAATAACCCACAACACCTACCTCTCAAAGTTCTTACTTCTAAGAACCGCCGCATTATTCTGGTAATCTTTCCCGTCCTCAGCCCTCACTAAATACCCTCAATCTCACTGACTTGAGCGTCTAAGTGTATGTGGCAGACACCACACCGGTGTTTATCTAGCATTCATGTTCTATTTTCTTCTCTGTGCAGGTCTATTAGATTGTTAATGGCTCTACTCTCACAGGATCTGTCCCTTCCGAATTGACAGTATACCTTATCGTCTACATTTTGGCACCCACCGTGGAGCCTTGACAACTATTCGACTTAAATGACCTGCTTTTTCTACTCTTTTTCTTCTGATTTAGCCATCATGATTGGAAACACTAAAACCTCCACTCTTGATGTTAAGGCTCAGATTGTGGCTCTCACTACACTGGTGTAAGAGAGCAATGACATATACCACACTCTGGAAGCACAAAATGCGGCCATCTGTGCGAAGAAGCAAGCTTTGTAGGATAAGGTAACCTAATTTTACTCTTTAGACTGGTCTTTAAATTAGCATGCATACTACTCTCGACTCCCAAGTCACCCTAGACATCTATTCACCACTTCGGATCATGGAATCTTGGCAAACCAATCCCACTTCCATTTAGCTCCAACCATAACTATGATCATGCCCAAGCCAACCCAAACAGAAACCACTCTATAACCCATGACCCTTTCGGCCACTGAAGCACTCAGTCAAACAACCCCGTTACAACAGTACCCACTAAACATTTTCCCACTAAACATTTTCCCACAAACACAACCTTCACATTCAATAGTCGGTACATCCCATCGACCTTTCCCCTTCGGCTCGACCATACACATTAACCCCCATGTGTTTCCTTACCTACAAAACACAAGCCTGTACACTGCCATGACAA